CTGAACAACAGTAAGGATTTATAAAGTCTTTGATAGGCTAGAATACTGGACCAAATCAGAGGAGATGAATGTCAGTAGGGAAAAATGTAGAGCCTTATATGTAGGTTCCAAAAAAATCACCTTTCTAAGAAGATCAGGGAAACAAAGCTAGATAGCCCTTTATTGAAAGACAAACTGGGAATCATTGCACTGAAAACTCAATATGAGTCAGTGTGATATTCAATTCAACTAGCATTTATTAGATGCCACCTGCATACAATTTACTAGGATTCAAATCCAAATATGAAAGAGTGCTTGCCTTTAAGAAGATCATATTTACTGATATTGCAGTGAACAGAGCTAACGTTATCCTAGGCTACATTAAGAAAAGTGTCACATCCAGTAATGAAGAAGTATAAGACAGCCCAACTGAACTTTTCCCTGGTCAGACCACATAATGGAGTAGCATTTTCATTTCTGAGCCCCACATATTGAGGAAGGGTATTGATAATATGGAGAGCATCTAGAGGAGGGTTAATAAGATGGTGAAGAGCTTCCAATTTGAAGGAATTAGGTATATTTAGATTGGAGAAGATTTAAAGGGGAACTTGTGTCATTGCTTCAGAATTCCAGATACTTTTTGAACTTTTTTTTCTTTTTAAGGCTGAACTTTGTTTTGCCTTGTCAAATTTTTAAAATATTGATAATCACTGAACATGGTGGAAATCCAAATTCTATGAAATTTCCATCCACTCTGTAATCATAATTACGTGTGATGCATAACAACAGTATGGAAAAAGAATTATAGCATGCCTTTCCATCATCACAGAAGGGATATCTTTTTACTATATCTATTTACAAAGGGCTGTTTGCTTGGCAGCTGAATCAGAAAAACTTGAGTTCAGGAACAAGAGAGCATTTTGCATACTAATAACTGTCCTTCAGAAACTTCTACAATCAGTAGCTAAGGGCAAATACTTAAAAATAAAGAACACAATGTTATGCTTACAAATGTTATGCTAATTTTTCAGCTGGTGGAACGAGACCCAGAAATATCAATTTTACTGATTTCTAAATGTAGAATCACAGAATCTCAGAGTTGGAAGGGATTTCAAAGGCCATCTAGTTCAACCAATACTTGAATAGGAATCCCTTTTAAAATATTCCAGATACGTAGTCATCCAACCTTGGGATGTAGATCTTTAATGAAGGGGAAACTACTTCCTCTTGAAAAATTTCCCCTTGGAAAAATCTGATCATTGAAGAATTTTTGCTTATATCAAATATAATTATAACTCTGTGTAACTCCAGCTGTTGATCCTGGTTTGGCCCCCTGGGACCAACAGAGCAAACCAATTATCTCCTGTACTTTCAAATACTTGAAAATAGTTATTAAATCTCTATCCTTATGTCCCCTAAGCCTTCTTTCCTCCACATAAAACTGCTAGGCTTGGTATGAATTAGATGCCCATTGAAGGACTTTTCAACTCAAAAATCTCTGAGGACCCCTGAAACAACACCACATCTATTGATTCAATTCAAATAAAACTGAGTAAATATTCATTAGGTGCCTACTCTGTGCAGAGCCAGAATTCTTCATTTTTAACTCATAGTACCAATTGCCTTTTATAATTAATGATATATAGTTGTATTATACTTTCCTTTAACAAAAAAAATTACTTTCCTAATAGTTATGTATTTCCTATTTTTATATTTAAACAACAGCAAGAATTTATTAAGTGCTTCTATATAGTTGTCTGCATGTTGTCCTTCCCCTCATTAGACTATGAGATCCTTGAGGGCAGATACTTTTTTTTGGCCTTTCTTTGTATCTCCGATGCTGGGACGCAGCAAATGTTTCACAAATGTTTATTGACTGACTAACTGAAGAAACAAAGAAAGACAAAATGGAAAAATGAAAACAAAACAGAAAGACAAAATTTCTGTCCTCAAGGATTTCACAATCTAATGGGGGTAAGGGGATACTACATGTAAACAACTGTGTACATAAAATATATGCAGGGTAAACTGGAGGTAGTGGGAAGAGTGAGAGGATAAGTGAAGAGACTGGGAAAGGTGTCTTTCAGAAGGTACCTCTCCAGCTGAGTCTTGAATGGAGGAATCAAGAAGAAGAGACAAGAAGGGAGAGCAGTCCAATCAAGGGAACAGGGATTAAAAAATAGATGGATCTGGGAGATAAGTGACATTCCTAAGGAAGAGCAAGGCAGCCAGTGACACTGCATTAGATTGTAGACTAAATAGAAGAGGCTAAAATGTAAGAGGACTGGAAAGGTAGGAAGGGGCCAGGTTGTAAAAGGCTTTAAAAGCCAAACCGAATTTACTATATTTGATCCTGGAGGTAATAGGGAGCCACTGATGTTTCTGGTCATGGGGGGTGAAAGAAGGTGGCAACATGGCCACATATGCACTTTAGGAAAATAATTTTGACATTTAACTAGAGCATGGACTGGAGAGGATTTTGAGGAAAGTTGGCCAACGAATGGACTACTATAATAGTCCAGGAGTAAAGCAATGATGGCTTGCACCCAAGTGGTGGTTGGGTCACTAGAGAAAAGAGGATATAAAAGGGAAATATTGAGAAGGTAATAATGACAGGACTTGGCCACAGATTTGATATGTGGGAGTGAATGAATGTGAAGAATTGAGAATGACATCAAGACTGGGAGTCTGGATAATTAGGATAGTGGTATAGTCAGTAGTGAAAGAGAATTTGGGAAAAGGGGAGAATGTCTGGGGAAAGACAATGAGATCTGTTTTGAATACAATAATTTAAGATGTCTGTGGGACATCCAGTTTGAGATATCCAGTTGGCAGTTAGAGACATGAGATTGGGAGTCAGTTATTCCATTGGAGGAAGAAGCTTAAAGATGCAGGATGCAGAATTCCAATGTGCCAAGTTTTCTGGGGAGATATTTTAGTATCTTCTCAGTCCTAAACTATGCTTATATCTTTTTAAAATTATCTAGGTATTCATAAATTAACATTAAAAATTTTATCAATTTTAAGGAGACTTATTAAGTCTTGTTAGCACAAAAAAAATCTATTTTATATATTGAAATTATATTACTGAGTGCTTTTACTTTTTTAATCTTTTTTTTTCTTTTTTAGTAAAGTCAAATCCAGTCAGTCCACAGGGATACATAATGAGTTTGCCTGTATCTGGGACTGCTTTAAAACAGACACAATTATCAGTGGTCATCTTCTCATTTTCGGGGGGGGGGGTTGTTTTTATTTGTTTTTCCCATAGTCAGAGTAGCAGAGGCCTACAAATACAATGTACCATTTCACATTGAAATATCAGCTTATGACTTCATGAACTATTGGTAGACATAGCTTTGCATGCTAGAATAAAACTAAATTCCAGACCATTCTTGACACTAATTCACGAGTGTTTGTTTGTTTGTTTTTTCCCTGCTTACAACATCATGGAAACATCATCATGAATAAGATGGAATTGGTGACAACAGTCTGAAATGACAATTTTCTTTTTGGAAATCCTTATGCTTTAAAAGACTAAGAAAGAAGGTGCAGGATCCTTCTTCTTTAGCTGTCCAAAGAAAATCCACAAGTTATGACAAAAATGGCATATAATGCTTCTATCACCTAGTTTTCAATAAGATGCTTGTTGAACAAAGAATTTTTGAATACATTGCATTTTTCATGAACATTTTTATCCTGTTTAAATAGAAACACAACATTCCAAGCCAATGAAGAGAACAAGCACTTTCAGCCCTTAGCAGGTAGATTTAGAGTGTTTGGTTTATGGATAATTTCTAAATACATCTTTCCTTCCTCAGATATCTTGAGTTAGGTTCACACAGCATACAGAGAAGGAGATTGGGTAGTAATCAAAGTAATTACCCAGTTAATTTGACACATGTTAATAGTCACAAGAAGTGTAACAGACCAAAATATTATTTTAACAGTTAACATTGATCAACTAAATTTAATAGTTTCCACATTCCATTTTATTCTGTGCAGATAAAATGAGATATTTGTAAAGTGCTTAGCACAGTGCCAGGCACGTGGTAGACTCTAAATAAAGGCTTGTTTCCTTCTCCTTCCCCCCTTCCCCTACTGTGGAGTCATTTGCCATATCTGAAAAGCATAAGCAATAAGCCAGTAATCAATCTCCATGCTCACCCTGGTCAACTGCGTTGCAAATAGCCGTTTTTATTTTTTAAAAAAAGTCAAAATTAGTGATGGATTGACCACATTCTCTCTTCCCTAAATAATTTAAGAGCTTATTTATTTTGTCGGGAATGTGCTTATATGAATATTTCATTTCATTGAGCTAGGGCATTTTCAGTGTGTAAATACTATAGATTAGCAACTTGTAGACAATTTATAGTCTTAGAAAATTGCCTGGGTGACTCAGAAGTTAAGTGACTTATCCATGGTCACATAGCAAGAATATGTGAAAGGCAGGACTTGAACCCAGAACTTTTTTTCTCATTGGGCAATGAGGGGTAAGTGACTTGCCCAGGGTCACACAGCTAGTAAGTATTATGTGTCTGAGGTCAAATTTGAACTCAGGTCCTCCTGAATCCAGGGCGAGTGCTCTATCCACTGCACCACCTAGCTGCCCCTGAACCCAGAACTTTCATACTTCAAACCAAGCCTCTCTTCTTTATCTCACTCTGTCTCTACTAAAGTAGACTATCCTCTTCCCTAGGAAAGAGACAAATAATGTATACATGTCTGGTAAGATATCTGAAATGAAATTAATATTTCTGTGTGAGAATTATGTTCACTTGTTCTCTTTGAAAGGTAAAAACAAACAAACCTGCAACTTATTTTTATTTCTACATAGGATTTGCTTCTTTCCTAATGTTCATTTCTTAGAACAAACTTTAATTACTAATGCTCTTTTAAACCAACTATTAATGAAAAATTGATTTTAAAAAATTCCCACATTTTCCAGAAAAAAATCAACACATGTATTATGAATGACTCATCACCAAGTTGAAAAAACAAACAAAAACTACTTTGCATCTTACCAGGTGAAGATAAGACAAAGTAATGTGGATATTAAAATCAAAACTTGATTAAACATTGCTGATTGTGTCCGCTGAATGGCTCTATGAAGATCATTCTAAAGTAAAAGTAAAGACAAGTAGTTACTCTTGGAATATATAAAAATTACATCACTTCATACAGTACTTTCCTTCCAAAACACACACATTATTCAGATAATATTTGTTTAGAAATCTCACTGTACCTCTACCTTTTTTTGCCTCTGTATTACTATAATCATTGTTTGGCCTAGACCTGGGAGTTCCACTAAGGGAAATACCTCTTTGCCAATGCAGATCAGCAATTGTTCTGCAGATAACGGTCTTAAAGAGTCCTCTGGAGAAATGAGAGGCTAAATGATTTGCTCAGGGTCACCCATTCAGTAAGTATCAGAGGCCTCATTTGAATACAGGTTTTCATAATTCATTGGCCATCTTTCTATAAACTATGCTCTGCGGCTTCTCACATTTCATATGTAGTAGGTACCTAAACTGACATAACAAGGAAAGGATGCAGTAGCTGACAAAGGTCATCCCAGTTGGAAAATGAAGCATTCATTGATGCCATTATCAAAATATTGTTTGAAGGTTTATAAATCTGGTCTTCCTAAGGCCCTCAGCACTTCTTTCCTAGTCCTCTGGGAATCATAGTTCTTGTTGGACAAATGCTAATGGTAAGCCTTTCTCTTAAAAAAAAATTAGAGTATCCAAAGGAAGGAAGGGATAATAGCCTGAAAATATACATTCAACTTTAATTTTGAATTATGATAATAGCTTGACAAAGGAAAATTCATTTAAAACTTCACTTTAGAGAGCAATTTAACCTCTTCTGTAACAGACCTCCTTTATAAAGAAAACTCATTGACTGATTTGAGGCTCATCTCTTAGCCTTACTCTGCTTTCCTTCTGGGAGAGGGGCTAATGAGTAGAAAAAGGGACAAAAGATCGTTGTGAGCAGGGAGAAGCTAAGGGCAAAAATATTTCCAAAATGGATAATCTGGGAGTAAATGAGCATTGCCTGTATTACAGCTACTATATCTCCATTTTAATTCGAATCAATGGGTTATTTTTCTCATTTATGTAACTTTCCCAAGTAACTATTTGTAATATGAGTTATCAGAAGGTTATTTTGTTGCAAATGTAATTTATGTAATCTGTATTTAGTGAAACAGATATTTCCCTTTTGACAATTAAAAAGACAGCCAAATGGCCATGCAAAATATTCCACAGTCAGTCACTCCCCTATTACATTACTTAATCATTGGCTAAGAGCTTACATGAGACTCAAGTGACTGTAGGATAGAATTTGTTTTAAACATTTGCTCACTTATGAAAACCCAAATGTTCTCCAAAATGTTTTGACAGCCAAAACTTGTGTCAGAACACACTTGTTAGGATATGTCTGAAACATATTTGTCTTCTCCCACAAGATTTTATTTTCTAATGTAACCTTGGCCATGGTGTTCTTGTTTCTTCCTCATATAAAAACTCATGGTAGATATTACCCATTAATGCCCTATATGCCCCTTGGAAATTTCATTTCCTTTTTTCAGCTACAAAACATTAGCTGCTTAAAATTTAGAAAATAAAAAACAAAAATTAATTCAGTTAATTACTTTTGATATGTTTCTTAGATATTGTCCCACTCCTGCTATTGGGGCCAATCTTAGGCAAGAAGGCTGCTGCAAAAGTATCCATCACCAAGGTCTTAATTAATCATTTCTTGCTGTGTTTCACATTCCCCTTTTTCCCTCTGAGTATTCCTTCTGGGACTCTGAATTCCCAAAACTACAATAGACTTATCTATTTGGGGTCGCACATTATTCTTCTTAAATGGAGTAGGTAGCAAACCAGAGCCTATGAAAGAAGGCCTTTATCTTTCTCCATGGGGTCTTTATTGCTTTATGAAACACTTGGCCTCCATAAATAGAGGTCTCAAACACCTCCAACAAACACCTTTTTAGCTGCTTTTCTAGGTCTTGGATCCAAAAACCAGGAGGAACTGAGTTTCAATCCAGACTCTTCAATTTGATACCTCTATGACCAGGGGCAAGTCACTGAACTGCTCCCAGACTCAATTTCCTCATCTGTGAAATGGGTATATTATTATTCTCCCTTATTAGGATTTTTGTGAGGAAAATACATTATAACCCTGAAAGCCCTATATAAATGTAATGATCTTCATCATCATTTCCCTGATATCATTAAACTTCTAGTATCTAGGAACGTGTTTTTGAGTGTGTAAGTAACTTTAAATGAGCAACAAGAACAATCAGTCATTAGTTTAGTAGTCCCTAAGATCATCTGAACTTTTTGTACTTTGCCAGGTCAGAATTTTATTGTGGTTGCCAACAACAGGTGTGGAATTAGGGTAAATGGAATAGTAAGCACCAGAGACTGGTAAACTTAATGGTTTGAAATTGTAGTAATACCCCCAGTTTAGCTTTGCTCTAGATGGTCAGGATGGGGGAAAACTTGGCAAAGTCACTGGGCAAGGACATTTTCATCTCAAGCACTCTTGCTTTCCCAATTATCTTTTAAAAAAAAACTTATTTCAAGATACTTATTTTATTTTTGTAAAGTAATCTGTACACAACAGAAGATATAAAAAAACACAATTAAGTTTACTACAATACGAAAGAGGTGGAAATTATTTTTAAATTGAATGAATTTGACACCAATTAATTATTTATGGGATATGGGAAAGCCAAAAAAGAATAACTAACAAAACCCAATAAAACAGGTTGCTAAAATCATAATCTACTTGTGTTTAATCTGAATAATAGTAGCAAATTTGAAATAATGCATGTTTTTGTATCACAATTTCAATTCAACTTTATACTTACAATCATATTTTCCAAAGCATGTTTGGCAAGCCAACAATTTAGAAAGACAGGGATGAATAGATTTCTTAAGGAAGGCCAGAATATCTGGAAAATAAATTACAACTAAAACTTTTTTTGTCAAAAAAAAAGATCAATTAAATTGAAAAGGTGTTTCAATGCAAATAAATTAAGCATAAAAAAGTTACATTAATGGAAGAGCTGCACGAATTTGGAAGCAACACCCAAAGTCCTCTCCTCTTATAGGAAAGGTGAGGGGTATGTAGCTAACAGTAGTAATGAGAGACAGATAATTGCAATCAATTTTTGAAAGCTTAGCATCTCTTAGGGAAATATAAAGTGGAAGAAGAGAATAGAAATTCACTCCAATAAGTAATGGAGCCTAACTAAACAGACTGTTCTGTTAACCATTCTCTGTAGAAAGCTAGCTAAACTCTAGATCTTGTTTTTACTACTGGTAGCATCAAGAAATGGGACAGGACAAAGCCTCCATTGCTTCTGTATCTGGCCTTCGAACATTTTAAAATGCCTTGAGTTATCCAATGCTCAATCAATTTTAAATAGAGACTACTCATTTCATTTAATAAAACTCCAGCTGTTTTGCTTACATTAGTTATTCAAAATGAAAAACTGTCAGATCTGAGCAACAGCTGGAGAGGTTGCTCAACAGTTTTATAACCATAAATAGTCATGTAGCTTAGTCCAATTTAGGTCATGATTGAAAGAAGAAGAAAAACATATCACCTCATGTTAAACTGCTACAAACCCTGAATTCACAATAAGTCATTTTATAAAGAGGCAACAGCTCATTTAAGCTGAAATTCCCTTTTGCACATGGGAAAGTACTGGCTGTATATTCATGGATAAACCTAGATGAAGAGAAGAATTTCTGGCAATTTCCTGGCAGTCTCTGTACTGGAGAGAGAATTAGGTTCAGTAAATTATGATGAACAACTAAAAATGCATAAATTAAGTAAGAAAAATCATTATTCTGCCCAATTCTTCTATCATTGCTACACAACATTCTTAAAATAAATACAATTTCTGTTTTGTTGTTGACCCTAGTACTAGATATTTAGCAGCAGTTTTTATGAATATACAGCTTTAAAGGAGGACAAACATGGGCCAACTATACCAAGGGCTCTCTATCTGCAGAGCTTTATTCTGCAACTATAGACAGCATCTCCATTAATTTTCATTTAACCACTGAATCCATGAAGTTGATGTTAATTCATTATATTTTTCTTTATTGACACAAGCATATCCAGTCATCTAAAATATTAAATATTTATTACCAACTTTTGTCCTAAAGCCTCAATTTAACTCAAATGGCATGCAGTTTTTCTTCCTTCTCTAGGGGACTTACTGAGATGATGAAGGGGACAGCATTAATGATTTCCAGGATGAAGGGGATGCGTAAAATCTGCTCCCAGATATTTCCCTTTTAAGAAAAAAGAATAGAAGTAGAAGAAATGTATACTGAATCCCATCAAGAAGAAAAAAATAACTAAATATAAGCCTTTCTATGGCTACAGTAGAATATATGTTAATATGATACAGCATTTTTAGACCTTAAAGTATACTAGCAATTTGGAGACCCCTGTTATAAGCAATTTGACTCCCATAATTTTCTGCAAAATTAGGAAATAAATTCCTAACCATGGAATTATACGAATACTATTTTTATAGTATTTTCATCCTACAACATTTACAGGCACAAAATTATAGATTAAAATTTTGTCCTATGGGTGCTACTTTGGAAGAAACACAAAATAATGTTTGTTTGTTCTTCATATCACATGCATGAAAGCATTCAAAGTTAGCTATCATTATTAAATGTCTCTTCAAAACTGTTCCTCATATTATTGATATATGACCATTTCTAGGCCCTTCAGCATGTTGGTAGCTCTTCTCTAAATGTCTGACTTTATGATTCTCAGTCTTGAACACAAGACCCTGCATATGATCAAATGACATGACATAATATGTGAAAATTGATTTGCAAAACTTTAAGTGCTATGTAAACATCGGGTATTATTTTTGTTTGGGTTTTTATATTTTAGTTGGAACCTATATTTTCTTCATTATTATGGAACTCCAGGAATGGAAAATCCATCCACTGTTGTAGCCCAGCAATTCATCCATAATTTATAGTCTCATAGAGTGGCTACAGCCCTGAGGTGAAGTGATTTATTCATAGGCACAATGCTAGTATGTGTCAGAGTACTTAACACAGCTTTTGACTCCAGTTCTTTCTGATTCAAAGTCTAGCAATTTACTATGTGCTTCTGTCTTTCATTTATTATTGTACTAAACATTTATTGTCATTATTATTTACTTGGCCTACAGTAGGCACTAAATAAATTGTTATTTGTTGATGTATTGATTAATCTGGGTATTACATTTCAGTTAATGCATATAAATTCATGCTTTTAACTTGAACTATTGAATTCTTGAAACTAAAGGCAGAATTTCACATTTACCCATGTGAACCACAGGAACATGAATTACCACTAGAAATTATTAAGATGAAACAAATAGCTACCAGTATGAAAATATTAAACCAGCACTGACAAACTGCTGTTAGAATTGTTTGGTGAGCAAAAAGTTGCTAGAGATTTAGTAAAGTTTTATTATATAATTTTTTTTATTAATTCTGCATGATTTCATATCTGAAAATTGCTTAAAAGAGTTGCTTAGCTTAGTATCCAGTACTTAAGCAGTACATGGCACATAGTAGGTATTTAATCTTGATTGCCATGGTATCCTCTGGAATCAGAGAAACTGGCTTCAGACTTCATCTCTGACAGCATACATGTGACCCTAGTCAAGTCACTATAATTCAGTTTTATCATCTATAAAATGAAAGAGTTGGACTAGAATGCCCTAAGATCTCTCAGACCTCTGGACTGTGGTCCTATGTTTACAACATACTTAATAATTTGAGGAAGTTCTACTTATTTGATTGGACTCCTCTAAACAAGAATATGTATTTTGTAAGGAAAGTGTATAGACTTTTCCAATTATGTGCATATAATTCTACTTTTGGGACATAAGTCTGGCGTATATTAACTTCTGATGCATTCTCATCATGAATCTACATGAATCACAAAAGTGTAACTTAGAGGACTCAATAAAGTAAATGGGGCAATTACATCATTCTCTACTTGGAAACCTGCAGGATTTAGTCTCAGAATAAATAGTCTTGTACTGAGAAGATGACAAAAGGTCAAAGAACATCACCATGGAAAGAAGAATGATTGATCACACGGAGTCTAAGAAGCAGGAATACCATGCTTGAAATTTACTGAACTTTACTGGTATCTGTTTTCCTATTTGCACAAAAAATGAATATATCTATAAGACCTGACAAGATGGCAGAATAAGAAGTCACATTTGGTCCTGGATCACCTGTCTCCACATAGAAACAAAAAAAGGGGGTCAAATAAAGTAATGACTACAGTAAGGAGACAGGTATTTAAAATTGCCTAACTTGATGATAATATTTTAAATTTCCATCACTCCTTCTGCCATATCCTTCCTGAACCACTTATTCTTCATGCTCACCAAGACTTTCAATCTCTTCTCACCTCTGTACTTTTCCAGGCCATCATCCCTGTTCTGGCTACACTGTCCCCTCTTCCTAAAATCAAACCCAAGGTGAACCATTTCAGCTTTCCACTATCCTGTACTTCCCTTGTCCTATCACTGAAAATGCCTTGCCATATCCCAACCCTGGATTATCTACAACATCTAACTTCCCTCCTATATGTACATGCTGCTGAAAAGAACCACAGAAATTATGAAACCATACTGACTGGATCTACTGCAGATTTATCCTATATGGTCTATGTCATACCCACTTTGGGTATATCCAAAGCCTCTGTCTTGGCCCTCCTCTCTTCTCTATACTCTTTTACTTAGAAGTCACATCAGTTTCCATGGTTTCAGTGATCAGCTATGCATAGATGATTCCTTAATACCTAGCCCACTCTAGTACTGAGCTTTAGTTCTTCACCACTAGCTACCTTTTTCACATTTGGAACTGAATGTCCCCTAGGCATCCCAAACTCAACGTGTCAAAAAACAGAATGGAGTATCTATCCTGCCAAATCTTTCCCTCTTTAGTACTTTCCCACTTCAGTCAAAGGAAGCAACAAACTTCCAATCACCCAGGTTTGAAACCTTTTTGCCATCTTTGATTCCTCGCTTTAACTCATATCACACATCTTATCAGTTGCCAAATCTTAAAAAATTCATTCACTACAATATCTCTTGGACATGTTCCTTTTTTTTCCCCACTCACACAGCCATAATCCAAGTTCTATCCCTTAAAAGTCATCTCACTTGGATCTTGCATTAGCCTTTCAACTGGATTTCCTGCCTCATCTTTCCTACTCCAATCCTTCCCCCACACAGCTACCAAAGCAATTCTCCTGAAGTACAGGTCTAACCATGTCAACCTAATACTCAATTAACCCCAGTGTCTCCCTATCACTACTAGCATCAAATATGAACTACACTGACATTTATAATTATTCACAATCTGTCTCCTTTCTGTCTTTCCAGGCTTCTTATATCCTACGTCCCTTTGCACAGTGTATGGTAGAGCTATACCTTTTAACCCATTGCTCTGCACACATAATAAATTTATTTTCTGCCCCCCCCACTCCTATGACAATCTACTCTATAGTGTATCCACTATATATATGGAGATAACTAACCACAAATAACATCCTTCTACAAAAATAAGTTCAATTTAAGCTTATAGGGGGTAATATAGTGCACCCTGAGGTTCCCTTGGTTTCCTTGTCTTTGGCTTTGAGGAGATGATGTTAGATGAAAAGTCCTCAATTCAGTTATAATTGTTCCGAGTCTCCATTAGGGAAAAATTCCTGATACCTAGGCAATACCTAGCGTTCTCTGCTTAACCTTTTATTCTATATCTGTCTCTAATTAACTCCTGGGCTCTTTATTATTTAGTAAAATTCAGTTCCCAGTAAAATTGGGAAAATGTGGGTAAAGAAATAGGAAATTATATCTCTATTATAATGTTTCAGAATAGACAAATATCAGGACAGGAAACCGAGGAAAGATCCAATCTTTCTTGGGACCTCCCTCAGCCTAGATCATCCTCTTCACCATTCCTATAGAGCAAAGGTCTGTCCTCAATGTCTCTCTTTTCTGTCATAGCTCAGTCTTCCCTTTATTCCATACTTGTTCCATCCTCTAGTATCTGAATCTTCCTTTGATATAATTTAGAGAGATTCATTCTCTTACTCAGTGGCTTTAATTGATTCAATTAAGTATACAGGTCCTATTCACATTTAGGTCTGATTGAATTTTTTTTAAATGCCTCTAGTTAAGGTTCTAGGGGCCAAATGGAATGTTCTGGGTCCCAATTGTAAGTAACAAAAACATGATTATATCAATAAGGATTGAGACTATATCAGTGATATCACAATTACAGGGAATTCTCAGGTAAGGAAACTCTCACTACCAAGAAATGTCAGCACCTTGTCTGCATCTTAAAATCTTAAAGAAATTCCAAAATAATTGAAAATTTAAGTGACTTGTCCAGAGTTACAAAGCCATTAAGTGCCAGAATAGAGGACTTTAAGCAGGGTCTTCTTCCCTTCCATACCAGGTCTTTCTGGAGAGTAGAGCAATAAGGTATATACTACATATATTTCTTTTAATTTCTATTAATTATATCAATGGATGTAGAAAAACCCTTTGACAATATATAACATTTACCTTCAAAACCCTAAAAATCATAGGCATAGAAGTGCCTCTTCTTAATATGATCAAAAGCAGATGTTTAAAACCTAGAGTTGGCACTATTTGCAATGTAGAAACACTTAAAACTTCCTCCATAAGCATAGAAATAAAGAAAGTATACCTGCTTTCTCCTCTATTTATTTGATGTTATACTATAAATCTATCTATAATGATAAGAGAAAGAAATTAAGGGAATAAACATTGGCAAATGAGGCAAAATTATTTCTGTTCATGGAAGGTAAGGTTGTTATTTTGGAAAACCGCAGAAAAATCATTGAAGAAAATACTCCTTATTTCCTTCAGGTCCCAGATAAAATCCCTCCTTCTACAAGTCCTTCCTCATCCTTCTTAATTCTAGTGCCCTCTCTCTGATGATTACCTCCAATTTATTGTGTACATTAACTTGCTTTTAATAGTTCTTTGCATACTGTTTTCCTCATTAGAATAGGAGCTCCTTGACAACAAAGACTGGTTTTTTTTGGTTTTTGTTTTTGCCTTTTTTTGTATCCCCAGCACTTAGCACAATGCCTGACATGTAGTAGGTACCTAATAAATGTTTATTAACTAAGTTGTGAAATATCTGGAAACAGAATGAGTGGTCATTGATTTGAGAATGCCTGAACAAATTGTAGTATATGAATGTAAAGATATTTATTTCTC